GGCCCTACACCTCTGAGCTCGGAAGAGACAGAGAAACTACGCAGGTTGTTAGAAACTTTGAAACACACTGACACGGGAACCCAACCAGGAGCACTTTGCAGTAATGTAATTCCTATTACATCTGAGGGCGCGAATGACAACATAACAGATGTCGGTGGAACACACCAAGACATTGCTGTTGTTGCCTCAAACAACCCCTCATCGGAAGAAGGGGGGGTAAACACACACACGAACGATGACGAGTCATCGCAAGCTGAACACTCAGAAACAGCTTCTGCTGTGCTGACGGTTCAGACAAACCAAGATTACACAGATAAGGCTGAACGCGTGAAGAAGCGTCAGAAAAAACCCAAAAGGTTTCTGTGTAACTTTATCAGAAGGGGGGTCGCCAAAAAGGCGTACCTGTCAGTAACACTCGAAGGTGTCCTCACACACGAAGCACTCTTGGACGGTGGAGCAGACATAACAATTATGTCAGCTAAACTGTTCGAGGAGCTGAGGACGGCCGCTGCCAGTGTTAACAGGATAATACCTCTCTCTGAATGTGCTATAGAAATGCAGGGTCTCTCAGAAAAAAAAACAACCCTGACAGCTATAGCAATGGTTCACATGCAGATTGGCAATATGACGCTGTACCACCCAGTACACGTGTCTCGTGTTGACTCATTCCCATTTTTGGTTGGCCAGGATTTTATAAATCGCTTCGGCGCGATTATAGATTATGGTGATCAAACAATGTGGACAACAGTGAGCAAGCCACTGCCAATCGATACGCCTCCGGAGTGTGACACAGACTGCCCAACAGCAGGTACCGCGGAAGGCGCACAGGACTCCTCAGCCAAGGACATGAGTCCGGTGAGTACTCCTCTGACACCATGTGAAACCAAAGAGACCCACCAAGAGGTCCAAACTCTGACTCAACAAGACAGCATCCTCTGTGAGCTGGAGCAGCCAGAGTCCACCAAACACTACCTACCACTGGTAGTTAAGGGTGTAGAGATCCAAGGGTCCCACACCAACGATGCTGTTCTGTCTCTGTGGACAGATAAATCGGCAATTAACCGAGCTTTCTACGAAACCTTGGTTCACAAACACGTTGGTCTAGAACTAATTAAAAAAGCTTTCCGCTTTCCATTAATTCCCAATAGTTCACAGGTAATGACCGCAGAAGGAGTCATTAACCTAAAACTGAACTGGAATCAACGAGAACTGGTTCACCCGTTTCTCGTTATCCAAAACTTACCACATGCATCCTACATAGGCTCTGACATTTTGGTAAGGTTGGGTGTCCATGTGGACACCATCAACAAGGTGCTGTGGTCCCTCAAACCAGCCACAAAGGATCCTCCTGTGCTAGACACAGCGAGCCTTAAGGCTGGGCAGACCATTCCAGAGGCCTGCCAGGTTGCTAGCAACCAAGACACCACAGTACCACCACAGGTGATTAACCTAATGGTGCGAATCCACATAATAGCTGGACAAGCTATTAGCCATAAACAGGCATATTTTCAACCCTCTCCTGCATTTTTCAACTTGGGACTGTCCGTGGAAACCACGAACCAGGTGAGTCTTGACTCCAGAACCACATCTATTGCTGTGTGTAACACTGGCATGGATGAGGTGCTGATCCCAAAAAACACTATGCTGGGATGGTTGATTTCAACCGACTTTCATGATTTTGAACTAGGCATTCCATTTCTGGGAGGACTCCCAGATAACCTGGTACCGAGTCAAGAAGCTGGGCCAGTATGGTTCACGGAACCAACACAGGCCATAGCTCTTTTCTCAACCAATGACGTCGACCAAGGACCTCAAACCTATGGTGTTTTACCCATAGACAGGCCCGACGACTCAGGAAGGGATTCGTTGGAGCTCCCCAAGGAGCAAGAACCCTTATCAGTCTCATCACAGATTGATCAGGTGGTCGCACAAGTCGACGCTCTGACATCTGATGAAGAAAGGGACAAACTACGCCAAGTTCATCTACAGGTGCGAATGACAATAAAGAAACTCTGACTCTGACTCTGACTCTGAAAGAAGAGGAATGAAAGTCAGCCGTAGTAAGACAGAGTACATGTGTGTGAATGAGAGTGAGGTTGGTGGAACAGTGAGACTACAAGGAGCAGAGGTCACAAAGATGCAGGACTTCAAGTACTTGGGGTCCACTGTCCATGAAAATGGGTGTGTGGTAAAGAGGTGAAAAAAAGAGTCCAGGCAGGATGGAGTGGATGGAGAAAAATTTCAGGAGTAATTTGTGACAAAAGTGTCAGCAAAGGTCAAAGGGGAAAAAAAGTAATATGACCAGTAGGACTGACAAAAAAAAAAATAACTGGAAGTGGCAAAACTGAAGATACTTTCTCCTTGAAAGTGACAAGAATGAAGAAAATAAGGAATAAGATCACAGGTACAGGGCAGCACGGTGGCGCAACTGGTAGAGCTGCTGCCTCTCAGTGAGAAGGTTGCCGATTCAAATCCCTTTCCAGGGGCCTTTTCTGGGTTGAGTTTGCATGTTCTCTTCGTGCATGTGTAGGTTTTCTCCAGGTACTACAGTTTCCTCCCACAGACAAAAACATGCATGTTAGGCTGATTGGTGACTCTAAATTGTCCCTAGGTGTGAGTGAGAGAGTGAATGGTTGTTTGTCTCGTTTGTCTCTATATGTCCCTGTGATGGACTGAAGACCTGTCCAGAGTGTCCCTTGCCTCTCACACAGTGACTGCTGGACATGGGCACCAGTGAACCTACCCAAAAAGAAAGAAGAGGGTAAAGATAATGGATGTGCAGTATATGTATATATATTTATATATATATATATATACACAAACCGGATTCCAAAAAAGTTGGGACACTAAACAAATTGTGAATAAAAACTGAATGCAATGATGTGGAGATGGCAAATGTCAATGTTTTATTCGTAATATAACATAGATGACAGATCAAAAGTTTAATCTGAGTAAATGTAACATTTTAAAGGAAAAATATGTTGATTCAAAATTTCACAGTGTCAACAAATCCCAAAAAAGTTGGGACAAGTAGCAATAAGTTGCTGGAAAAAGGAAATTGAGCATATAACGAACAGCTGGAAGACCAATTAAAACTAATTAGGTCAATTGACAACATGATTGGATATAAAAAGAGCTTCTCAGAGTGTCTGTGTCTCTCAGAAGCCAAGATGGTAAGAGGATCACCAATTCCACCATTGTTGCGCAGAAAGATAGTGCAGCAATACCAGAATGGTGTTACCCAGTGTAAAATAGCAAAGACTTTTAAGTTATCATCATCAACCGTGCATAACATCATCAAAAGATTCAGAGAATCTGGAACAATCGCTGTGCGTAAGGGTCAAGGCCGAATAACTCTACTGGATGCTTGTGATCTCCGGGCCCTTGAACGTCACTGCACCTCAAACAGGAATGCCACTGTCAAGGAAATAACAGAATGGGCTCAGGAATACTTCCAGAAAGCATTGTCAGTGAACACAATCCACCATGCCATCCGCCGTTGCCAGCTGAAACTCTACAGTGCAAAGAGGAAGCCATTTCTAAGCAAGCTCCACAAGCTCAGACGTTTGCACTGGGCCAGAGGTCATTTAAAATGGAGTGTGGCAAAATGGAAGACTGTTCTGTGGTCAGATGAGTCACGATTGGAAGTTCTTTATGGAACACTGGGAGGCCATGTCATCCGGACCAGAGAGGACAAGGATAGCCCAAGTTGTTATCAACGCTCCGTTCAGAAGCCTGCATCACTGATGGTATGGGGTTGCATGAGCGCTTGTGGCATGGGCAGCTTGCATGTCTGGAAAGGCACCATTAATGCAGAGAACTATGTTCAGGTTCTAGAACAACATATGCTCCCATCTAGATGTCATCTCTTTCAGGGAAGACCCTGCATTTTTCAACAAGATAATGCCAGACCACATTCTGCAGCAATCACAACATCATGGCTACGTAGGAGAAGGATCCGGGTACTGAAATGGCCAGCCTGCAGTCCAGATCTTTCACCTATAGAGAACATTTGGCGCATCATAAATAGGAAGGTGCGACAAAGAAGGCCCAAGACGATCGAACAGTTAGAGGCCTGTATTAGACATGAATGGAAGAGCATTCCTATTTCTAAACTTGAGAAACTGGTCTCCTCTGTCCCCAGACGTCTGTTGAGTGTTGTAAGAAGAAGGGGGGATGCCACACAGTGGTAAAAATGGACTTGTCTCAATTTTTGGGGATTTGTTGACGCCATGAAATTAGGAAACAACAGATATTTCCCTTAAAATGATACAATCTCTCAGTTTAAACTTTTGATCTGTGATTTGTGTTCTATTCTGAATAAAATATTAGATGTTGGCACCTCCACATCATTGCATTCAGTTTTTATTCACAATTTGTTTAGTGTCCCAACTTTTTTGGAGTCTTGTTTTTATATATATATATATATATATATATATATATATATGCATACTGTATATCAGTATTTTCCCTACCATTATGAAAGGAAGGTGCCCTGTCAACAGAAGCAAACGCCCTGCCTACCAAAATGTGCTTCATCCAATGCACAACATGTACAAACAAAACATGCGCGCCCCTATACTTGGGCATGCAAAACAGAGTGCTAGCTATGACACTACAGACGTAGTGCTCCGCTTCTCTCATGCATACTACAACCCTTCTCCCACCCCAGTCGACAACTGCCGGCACTAACGTAATGCTAAGCTAGCGTGCAACACATACGTGTCTCTGGATGTGGCTTAGACCCCTGTAATAACTGATCTGAGTTCTTGTCTTTCTTGCAGCTCTTTTAATGAGTCTAACCACATCTAAATTTTACAAAAACTCTAGCTGCAACAATCTAGTCATTTAGCATTTGCCTATTTTTACCTGTTTTCTGTAATAATGTTAAGGCTGATGTGTCCAAACTATTGGTATGAACTAAAATAAAAATATGTACAGATACAGTGTATGTAAAATCTTTTATGAAATGTTTTAAACATTTTCACTGCACTATGAACCTGTGCCACGTGGTCACGGATGCCTCCCAGTGCCATCATTCTCAGTGTGTGCAAGGCCATCTGGAGCGCCTCCACTCCTTCTGAAGTGGAGCGATTCTCAGACCAGTAAGACATGAGGAACATCAGATTCACTATGAAGGCACAGAGAGAGAAAGGAAAGAGGGAGAAAGTAGAAAAATAAGAAGAAAATAAGAAATGGTAACAGATGAGGTATTGAGATATGAGATATTCAAGCCAACAAAGCTGTATTTTGGTTAAAACATGCATCATGCATTATTCCAAAATATATATATTTTAAACTACAAAAAAATTAAACAAGTTTATTCAATCATATATTTGATGTCTTCTCTTGCTGCAGAAGGTATGTGAAGCTGTCTGAACTTGATAATGCATTTGCATATACAATACATATATGCATTAGGGATGCACAATATTATCGGCATGGTATTGGCATCGGCCAATATTTGCATTAAAGTTCAATATCGAACATCGGCCATTCCATCAAAATAACTCACCGATATAAAATATGCTGTTTTTATATGACAACCCAGTGACAAGGATGCCTGCAGCATCAGCACAACGTGATGATGTCACTCGCGCACCTGATCTGATCACGGCGGAGAGAAAGAAGTCAAAATGGCAGCGGTGTGAAAGATTTTTTTTTTCATTGAGGATGTCAGATTCCGAAGATTTTAGGACTATGTTGAGCCTCACTACATCGTCCCCAGTCTGAGATATTTTTCCAACGTAGCGTTACCCCAGCTAGGAACGTGGAACAAGCCTCCACAAGTGAGACAGCATCGCAGGCAACTAATGCTAATAAATGACATTGAACACTTTTCATTTAATATAAGTTAAAGTGCTCTGCATATCATTTGGCTGTTACTGAATATATGTCACCAGCTCTTACAGCTGTTGCACAATTTTTGTAACTAATAAGCCTAAATAAGAGGGCGATGTTCTGACAAAGGAAAGTATATAAAATAACGTTATCGGTTATCGGCCAAATAAGTTTTAACATATCAGCATGTCGGACATTGACCAAAAATCCAATACCGTGCATCCCTAATATACATTCCTGCCATTATACATCTCCTCCTACATGTCACTAAGTGAGTGCAGCTACAGCGTGCGCTCTCAAGACTTTATTACATGCAGTGTTCCTTCAGTGCGGACTGAACTAGGCAAAACGGCCTTCTCCTACTCAGCTCCCGTTTCCTGGAATACATTGAAAAAAGACCTGAAGCTCTCGACCTTGACCTCTCTGAGTGGCTTCAAACAACTGCTAAGTTCATGGCAAAAACCAACGCAGCCATGTTCCTGTTTTTAGTATTCTAGTATTTTACATCACTTTACAATCTAGCTGTTTTTTGTTTAGTTTTATAACACAATTTTCTTTCATTTATTTTTATTAATTAACATGCTTTCTTTTATGAATGTCTACTATTGTCATCATTCTTTGTTAAAAAACAGGTCTCAGTTGTAAATGAGTCGCCAAGGCTCAATGAGACTAACCTGTATAAATAAAGGTTGAATGAATGAAAATCTATCACTGGATAGCCAAACATGGTAACAACATGTATTCATTTACCATCAACAAAATATTGTTGCAAGATTTTGTAATGAGAAAACAGTTCCAAAATACTTAAAACTAAACTTGTCAAAACAAGAAAGTCGCTATGCATTTATTACCAAATGTTTCTACTATTCTACTTCTTCTTCTTTTGTTGCAGATGTGATTCACTGACAAGACACTGACAGGCTGAGATGAGGTGTAATAGAAGTGTCCTGTAAACAGTATCACAGTTCAATGTAAAGTCGTGTTGCCCTCTGCCTTCTAGGTATAAAAAATACTGTTGGTATTGTTTTACAGATAAGCTTTGTTCAAATGCACCCTCTGACAATACGAGGTCAAACAGATTCTACTGCTTAGATCTAGCTCATGTATAGGATGTTCGGCTTAACATTTCTTTTTGTAATAATTTGTTAAAAATCAACAAGCTGGGTCTTCCTGTCTCCCTTATCTTTTTGTCACAACACTAATTTGAGAAATTAAGGATAAAAATATACAAGAAGCTAATAAGAATTCTCTATATTACAAGAAGATAACTTGACAAGCACTTCTTAGCAGGCAGTAATAGTGTATAATGTATATTTTGATAAAGGTTAAATGATTTAAAGAAAGGTTTCCACTTTACCCTAGTCAGTATAATGAAACATACCGGTACAGAGCAACCTGGTGAATTTCTTGCAATGCTGTGATGAGGTCTAAGTGTTTTTTATTAGCATTTCAGATTGTAAGATCTAAAATAACAACCAAACACAAATTTTATTGAGACTTTGTTCTTTAGCCTTGTCTTTAGATTTCATTTTTGCCTCTATTCTTATTTAAATGACAAATCTGACACTGTGATGTGGCAATAAAAACTCATCTACCAATAAGAAACTAATGACAAAAACCAGAAGGCTCTGCAAAATTCTTTAAAGAAGTAGCTTCATGTTTGGTCTCTGTTCAGTAATAAAACCATAAGGAGAAATAGAACTATAGTCCTCTTGAACTCTCTTGAACCTGTTGAAACCTAGAAAAGCTATAGTGCAAACATTATTTGAAAGGACACCAGGGGATTCTACCTGGTGAAGGAAACTTTGGAGCATCCCTAAAGCCTCCGTACTCCTCCTCGTAAGAATGGGCCAGCTGCTGGAAGCAGCGCTTAGCAACATCTGGGGCCAGTGGAAGGCTTTCTCCTGGGTTTGCACTGATGGCTGTGGCTTTCTTAAGAGCCTCGAGTATCCTCACACCAGTTGACTCCAAAGCAGCACGGTTGTTCTGCCACTGAAAAACGACAGTCAGACTTTATGGCATTTAATTACATTCCTCTCTATCTCAAACTACAGATGTTCATTCTGATCATCTCAGGCTACATATTTTCAGGTTACTACTGATTCATTGGCATGTGTATGTGAAGAAAGCACTGCTACCTGTTCAATGATTCTAAGCAGAACTGTCTTTAATCCAGGTTGTCTTCCTTGGTCTCTGGGGGGGAAGTAAGTACCTCCAATAAAAGGTCGCAGGTCAGGAGTTAACCAAACGCTCATAGGCCAGCCACCACGTCCACTTGTTGCCTGGAATCATGAGTAACAAAATATTTAAAAAGCTACAAACGGCTGTAAGTCTGACATTGTAAATGTTTGAAGGCATGTACCTGTACAAAGGTCATATAGACCTTGTCCACATCAGGTCTTTCCTCCCTGTCTAGTTTGATGCAGATAAAGTTGTCACTAAGGATTTTGCCAATTTCTTCATCCTGGAAAGACTCCCTCTCCATGACGTGGCACCAGTGACATGTGGAATAACCCACTGGTGGTCAGAGATAAACAGATTATTCTTAGAAACAATTTTTTACTTCTTCTGTAGAAGCACAACTACAGCAAAGCCAAAGCCTTGTGATAAGTAAAGGAGTCCTTCAAATGATCAGCCAAAACATTATGACCATCCTCACCCAATACCCTTTTTACTACCACAAAGCTCTGATCAGCCATGAGCCTGAAAAGAAATAATCTTTTTGAAGAGTTTCAGTCAGGGTTTAGATTTAGAGATCATCATAGCACTGAATCTGCACTGGTGAAAGTTACTAATGATATTCTCATGGCTTCTGATAATGGACAGGTGTCTACACTGGTCCTGTTAGACCTCAGTGCTGCATTTGATTTAGTTGATCACAATATTCTAGTACAGAGATGAATATATTGGAATAACAGGAATGGCTCTTAATTGGTTTAAATCATATTTATCTAATAGATTTCAATTTGTAAATGTAAAAAATTAATCATCCATAACACCTCAGCAGTGCCACAGGCTGATTGCCTCCATGCCACGCTGCATTGAAGCAGTCATTCATGCAAAAGGATTCCCGACCAAGTATTGAGTGCATAACTGAACATGATTATTTGAAGGTTGACGTTTTTTGTATTAAAAACCCTTGTCTTTCATTGGTGGGATGAAATATGCTAATTTTTTAGGACAGGTTTTCATGAGCTGTATGCCATAATCATCAGTATTAAAACAATTAAAGACCTGAAATATTTCAGTTGGTGTGCAATGAATCTGAAATATATGAAAGTTTCATTTTTATCATTACATTATGGAAAATAATGACCTTTATCACATTATTTACATTAGAGACACTCTGGTTTCAAGTCTTGTGACTTTCAAAACAATTCCAAACCAGTTTGAAGCCTTATCTGTAAACATCACCTTGAATGGAGGCCAGGTTTTAACTGTAGTCTGCTGCTACCGCCCCCCCACAGCTTCACCTGAAGCATTAAATGCCATTAAGGAATTCCTTGGTAATTTAAAATTCAAAGAGATATTTTTGGCTGGAGATCTCAACATTGATTGGTGTAAGTCGACCCCCCTCTGTGACAAATTCAAGGAATGTTGCTTGTCTTTTAATTTAACCCAACTGATCGACTCCCCCACCAGATTAAATAAAAGCCATCCTGACAATTCCTCCATCTTAGACCTGTTTCTAACTAATATGCCTCACAAATTCCCTGGTACAGGTGTATTCGCTGATCTTTTGAGTGATCATTGTGTGACAGCGGCTTTAAGAAATAGTAAACTTCCACCTTCTAAGCCCAGATTAATTAAAAAAAGGGATCTGAAACATTTCTGTGAACAGTCATTCCTCTGGGATCTGTCTCACTTTGACTGGCATCGTATTCTGTTAACTGATGACGTGAACTCTGCTTGGAACTATTTCCATAATAATTTCATTTATTTCCTGAACTTACATGCTCCTTTTCGTCAGTTCAGAATAAAGGGACGAGACAGCCCCTGGTTTACTCCAGAGCTAGCTGACCTCCTGCACAGGAGAGATCATCTTTGGGCCGCAGCGAGAAAATCTGACTCAGACACTGATTGGTTGAGTTTTCGACAGATGAGGAATAAATGTACAACTGTTGTCAAAGCAGCAAAACGAAACTATTTCTTATCTCAGTCCTCCAAAAATCTAAATGACCCTAACAGATTCTGGAAAACAATTAAATCTCTCTCAGGCACCCCCCAATCATCTGACCTCCCATCACAACTTCTCGTTAACTCTGCTCCTGTGTCAAATAAGCACGAGATCCTGAACTGTCTCAACAAACATTTTGTTGCTTCTGGTTCTTTATTTGACACAGTAACTAATGGAAAATCAGCCACTTCACTTAATAACCAAACTTCTACAAATCAAATCCCTCCTACAAGTCAATCCTCAGTTAATCACAGCTTCTCTTTTTCTCCATTCTCAGTCAGTGAGGTCAATAAACTGTTAAAAGATCTTGATCCTAAAAAATCTGCAGGTCCAGATGAACTTCCACCTTATTTCTTAAGGCTGGCTGCTCATATCATCACAGTCCCTGTGACCCACATCTTCAATCTCTCCATAAGACAAAACTCCATCCCAGACACTTGGAAAACAGCCTTTGTTCTTCCTTTGCTGAAGGGAGGTGACCCCACCTCACTGAACAACTATCGACCAATCTCTAAACTCTGCATTTTAGCCAAGGTTCTAGAAAAACTGATAAACTCTCAAATCAAAAATTACCTGGACTCATTTAACATCTTACCTCCACATCAATCTGGTTTCAGGAAACAACACAGCACAACCACTGCTTCACTGAAGGTTCTTAATGACGTTGTTGAAGCACTGGATGCTAAGGATTATTGTGCTGCACTTTTCTTAGACCTGTCTAAAGCTTTTGACACTGTGGATCATAACATCTTGTGTCATAAACTCTCAGAAATCGGTTTCTCAGATCACACCATTGGTTGGTTCTCTAACTATCTTTCAGACCGGAGGCAATGTGTTCAACATAATGGTACTTCCTCCAGTTATTTAACAGTCAACAATGGTGTACCACAAGGCTCAGTCTTAGGACCCACCCTCTTTACAATCTACATACATAATGTAGGTAAAAACATCCCTAATGCATCCATACATTTCTATGCTGATGACAGAGTTGTTTATTGTCGAGCTAAAACAGTTGCTAAGGCTTTCCAGCTTCTGAAATCTGCATTTAACATCATCCAGACTGTCTAAATGTCTGAAATGTAATATTCCACTCTCTCCGTCTGTTTGCTTATTGGCTATCTTGGAAGATGTTACCCTGGAAAAAAATACATGTCGCATGATTTTCACTGCCTTATGCATCGCAAAGAAAACCATACTCCTGAATTGGAAAAATAAAAATAATCTTAGCATTAATCAGTATAAAAATCTGCTGTTAGATCATATTAGTCTTGAAACAGCATCTGCCGACACATTGGATCAATCTCTGTGGGCTCCTTTGATCGGCTCCGTTACATAGTGAGGGTGGGTAGTCTGGGATCTGACCTTGTGGGGCCTTGGGGTTGATGTGGAGGTGGGTGTATGGGTTTGGGGCCCCGGGGGGGTTGCCGGGGGCTGGGCTCTTGGGGGCACCTGGGCAGGGGGGCACTGCTTTCCCTCTGGGGAGGGCCTGGGTGGTTCTGGGGGATGTCTGCTGGTGGCTGCATGCAGGCCCTCAGGTGGTCTATGGCGGCGGTCGTGGGTCACCGATCTGGTAGCCTGGCTGTGCTGATGTGGGTTCGGGGTGGGCGCGGGGGCTTGGGGTTCTGGGGGCTTGTCGCCCCCGGGCTTGGGCCTGTGGGGTTCGGGGATCTTGGGCTCTGGCGGGCGGGTTGCCGGGCTCTGGGCCGGCTTGCGCTCTGGTGCCCGGTTCTGGGCGGGGGCCTTCGGCTCGCTGGTGGGTTGTGGGTCATGGGCTGGGGGGTTGGGTGTTTGGGGGCATGACCAGTAGCCCCTAGGAGGGGGTAGTTTGACCCAGCCTAGGTGTCTAGTGTGCTATGTGTTTTGAGAGATGTCCGAATGAGGGGTGGGTGTAGTATTTCTTCTGGAGTGGGGATGGGGTGGATGTCCTTGGGGGCGGCCCGGGACTGTGCATGGCCGGCTGGCTGGCCCCTTTCCTGTGGTGGGGGCTCGCTCCCGGTGCTTCCTGGCACTGTCGGCGGTTGGGCGGGCGCTCTTGGCCGGGTCGTCCTGGTGGGGTTTGGCTCCATCTGGTAGCGGGCTGACTGCGATCTGTGGGGGTCCTGGTGGCCCTCGGGTGTGTAGGCTGCTGGTGCAGCTTCTGGCGGCCCTCGGGGCTCTGTCCCTCTCTGGTCTGGAGCTCAGCGGGCCTGACGGTCGGTCCAGATGGAGAGGTGTCTTGGCCTCAATCCCTGGGTGGACCTTGGGGGGCTGGGGGGGGGGGGGGCTGTTGGGGCAGTGGGGGAGCTGACCCCCTGTGGGAGCATTTACTCTCACAGTTATTTCTCCCCATCCCTCACCATGCACCTCCACCCTCTTCATTTCAATTCCATACATTTAGGGTTGTTTGGGCTCGGGTGTGCTGCAACAATTTTACATCTTTGTTGACCATAGCCACCTGGGACTCAATTTTATTGTACACCTTAGACATTCATTCATAACATCCTCATGACATTCATATATAGGAATTTGAGGTGGGCACATGGCTATGGGTGGTGGGATGACCTTACTCTCACCCCCTGTGCCTGTGCTCACTTACAACGGTTGCATTTAGACACTAGGGTTTGGATAGAGTTGGGGTGGAGGGGAAACTGGCACCATGCCAGCCTTTGCTCCTTCTTCTTTCCTTTTTAATGGCACTATACAACAACACACATCAACAGCACATCTAGGGGTGGGGGTGTATGTGTCGGGGTCTTATTTTTAGTTATTTATTTATTTTATTTTATTTTTTTCTCCTCTTCCTACCCACCTAGTTCCCTGACTGCCATTCCGGGGGTGGGGTCCGGGAGAAGGGCAGGCCGTCGGGTGTTGACCAGGACTATGTGGGGGTTCAGGGTCTGGGGGTTGCCATGGGCGGTGCTGGCGCTGTGCTCTCCCTGGGGTTGTTTGGACCCCCTGAGCTTGGCTCTTGGGTGCCATGGTTGGCCCGCTGGCCAGGGTGGCTGCCGGGGCCTGGCGGGCGGTCGGCTGGGGGTGCGTGCTTGGCTGTTGGCGGTGTGTGGGGGTGGTCGGTGGCGTGTCCTCTTCATGGTGGGGGGGT